AGACCCCCTCGTTGCACACGACTTCACCCAACGGCGAAAGGAGAGGCGACCGCGCCACCTTTCCTGACTTAGTTGACCCGCCAGAGCTGCCCAACCTTGTACCACAACAGCCTACCTTGCTGGCGAGCAAGCACCTCAATTACCAGCTGACCCCCGACACCAGTGGAAGCGGGCAGTCTAGTGACGACGGCCTCGCACCGGCTGCTGTCATCATGCCTGCTTCGAGCCCTCATATATCGGTTTCGATGTGGGGCAAGGACGAGGTTGTTGTTCCTTACGCCTTGGATGACGAACAACACCAGCAAGTGCAGACCAGCGCTACCGCCGACGACACAAATGTTCAGTATCGGGACCGCAGCGGGTCGACACACTCCACTACCCGCGATGGGGTGGGCCGCTGGGTGCCGAATCAGACCACAGGCCAGGCTGGTTTGGATCCTGATAACCGTCCATCCGCAGAGGTGCCGAGCATGAATCAGCTGGCCGCCGGCCGAAAAGTAGAGGAGCAAAATCAAGTGGTTGACGGCTGGCTTAACAGGCAACCCAAGGATGTCTATCCAGATCCCCTGAAGGAAGCTCCGTTGCCTCCGTTGCCTGCTGATATCGACGATAATATCCCCCAGCGAGAGATACCACTGGGCGACCAAACAGAGAATAATTATGTACCTGGTCAGACATATTATGTGGAAGGCAGAGGCGGCGAGCTGACCGAAGAAGATGTGGAGATCATGAGGCAGAACCGCAACTGGGCGGATGCCCCTCTCCCCTTCGGAATCTCGCAACCAAAATCCAAACATTACCAACCACCGACGTCGCAGGCCGCCATCGATAAATTCAACAAGCTGTGCCAAGACAATGAGTCGATCGTGTCGAGGGCAGCCACATGGGGAACTCGAAGGCGGAGTTTACCTAGCATATCAGACTTCGAGGGTATTACCAGCGGGAATTTCCTGAAGAAGCTCTCTTTGAGTCGAGGGGATACAAGACGACCGAGCATTAAGTTCCCGGCGATCTTCTCTAGGCAAAACCCCAGTGCAAGCAAACGGTCACGGGCCGAGAATGACGATGCAGCTTCGGGTTCGACTGAAACCTCGATAGAACGGAAAGATTCACTCGCTACGCTTGCTCCTCCCGGCCGCTCGCTGAGCTGGAACAACAAGAACAAAAAGCAACCCGTTCCAAGTATTAATACCGCCTTGTTTGCGATGGGAGGCCATATGGCGTCGATTGGCGCAACCCATACGAGAAGCGGCTCTATCAGTGCTACCCCCATCACATCGCCCAGGAGTCCGGGAAACTTCTCACTGAACGTGATGAAGCCCCTGAATCGTATACGAAGCAAGTCTGATCTCCCAAAGAACACAAATTTAGGTCTTGCCGACATGTGGAAGAAGTCTGGCGGTCCCCCAGTGGCAAACCTGGCGAAGCCCACCGCCAACGCGGCGGAGGATGACGACGAGGAAGATGAGGAAGACATGTACGAGGATGCAGATGCAAAGAACGAAGCCAACAAGATTCTGGAGGACATCACCCCTAATTTCGCCGGATTTCAGCAACATGTGGTGAAACTGAACCCTGCATTGGAGAGGGAGAACAACTACCTGGTTGATCGTATCGCTCACCAGCAAATCATCCGTTACAAGAGTCTCCTTAATTCAAGGGTAAAGCACTTGCAGCATGTCGGAACGAGATCGTGTCCCTCCGGAAGTATGTGCATTGCGATGGGAGGCTCTGCGAATGTGATTGATTCAAGGGGTGATGCACGTGGGCTTGATCCTATGTCCGCAAGATATGACGTTTCAGACGGAGATGTCACACCGCTGGAAGGAGTCATCAGCCAGGAGAGCTTTCCTCCGGACATTCCTATGCCGCCGACGGGTAGCTTGCCCGCAGAGTTCGAGTGCCAGCTGTGTTTCCAGCCAAAGAAATTCCAGAAGCCGTCTGACTGGACCAAGCACGTGCACGAAGACGTCCAGCCGTTTACCTGCACCTGGGATCGCTGCAGAGACCCCAAAATCTTCAAGAGGAAGGCCGATTGGGTTCGCCACGAGAACGAAGGTCACCGTCATCTGGAGTGGTGGACTTGTGACGTTGAAGACTGCCGCCACATCTGCTATCGTCGCGACAATTTCCTCCAGCACCTCGTGCGTGAACACAAGTTTGCCGAACCCAGAGTCAAGACGAAGGCCGCAATCAAACGCATGGGGAACAGTGACCCAACCTGGCAGAAAGTGGATCAATGCCACGAGGAGACCAAGGTTGAGCCTCAACAGGAGCCTTGCCGATTCTGTGGGAAGGTCTTCCCGACATGGAAGAAACTGACTGTTCATTTGGCGAAGCACATGGAACAGATCAGCTTGCCAATCCTCCGACTCGTTGCGCGAAAGGAGCTCGAGGCCGACACTATCATCAGCCCAGTTCAGGAACCGCCAGCTCGGCAATTCCCGACTACGTTCCCCGTCAAGACGGAGCCGCAGGCATATGACCCGTCGCCGACCTTTACTCATACCCCTATGCAAACCCCTATGTCAGCGGGGCAACAGAACAGGATGGCTTTTTCGCACTCACCACAACATCAACAACCGCCCCACCAACAACAACAGCCGCCCTACAATATGTACGCGATTCATCCAACCGGCTACCAGCCGCAACTCTATAGCCCAGGCTATGAGGACCTCTCCCAAAGCATGGTGAATGTCAGTCATGGAGGCTTTTCTAGTCTGAACAATACTCATGCCTATTCCGGCCTCCCCGTGACAAGTGTGGCGACAAACCCATACATCGCACCGCCGAATCAGTATATCACGGTGCCGCAGTCAGACGTGGAGGCGTTTCCTACGCTGTCAATGAATGCTCTGGGACTCCAGGACCAGAACACCACTGCGGTCCAGATGCCGTATAACCACATGATGGATCCTCACAGTGCCGGCGGCGAACAGTACACGCCGCAGGGCTCTGTGTCGCCCTATTCTCGGTCTCCGCATCAACACCAGGGGCAAGGGCATGGGGGTTTTTACAGCCAATGAATTGACTTTGGGTTATAGTCTTTGCTTTGGATTTTGAATTTCTCTTTTGTTATCAGCCAGTTCTTGATTGGCTTACACACGAACCCGTTTGATACCCTATACTTATACTCCGTATTCTTGATCCCTTCAACTCATTCCATGGGGTTCGGATTTCTCCTCCCCTCATTGTTATCAGCATGCGACTTCCTCAATTGCCAGGTATTCATTGGCATCTCTGTGGAAATCCTTTTGGTACTTTGTGAATTTGTTTACTACGAGCGTCTTCTTTTTCTGCTTTTTCTTTTCCGGTTCCTTAGAGATGAGAACTTTGGATATTCTGGGTATGCCATCCACACACACACCTACCCGACCGGTGGTGTGGTCAGTTTTGGTTTTGGATCTCGAATTTATGAAAATGGCGGACAAGCGCGAGCGAGCGAAGATCTGTTGGGTTGCAACATAGGAAGATAACGATCGGATATGTTTTTTTTTTTTTTTTTCATTTATTCAATTATCGAATGGAGTTGATTATTCATCACTCGGGGCAAGGAAATAAAGCAAAGGAGCTGTCTATGAGTCAAATGATTTTATTTTCTAAAATTTTATCGATTGATCATTTTTATTAAGACGGATGTTGGGTGTCCAATGGTCTTCTTTTTTGAGGGTTGGCTTTTTGCGTCGTCTGGATTTGCCTTTTTCAAATAGACTTTAAACTGATGATACCGTTTTCCACTCACTCACGCTTACTCACTGATCTTACATTTTCCTCGTATATCTGCTCGCCATCGTTAAGGAAGACAGATGGTTATCATAACTGCTCTCTGGGGTGATGAGTCTGGCCTCGGATCGAGGTACCGAGACACCTACCTTCGATCACCTCTCGATGTGTTACTTTTGCGACGGGGCAATCTCCGGTCTTGTGGCCATCACTCCTGCTGCTGGATATGTGAGCTTCATTATCTAGTCGTCCTGCTAATACTTGTTTGTCTCTGCTAACAGTGTGCCGTAACCGATAGGCTCCTACCTACCTATCTTGAATCACTGGAGGACTGACTGACTGACTGACTGACTGACTGGGCTCATTTATATGCTTCACTTAGTCTTTCCATCTACCTGCCTAGGTAGGTAGGTACCTGAGCAGTGTTGCGAACACCATATTGGTAGTAAACGAGATCAATATTTTGAATAACTCGAACACCATTCTACGGTAAATAGTAGCCATCGAATACTTTACAAGGGCCTTAGCTCGTGACTTTTCAGGGCACCTGGTCACCATCCTGGAAATAGTTATTTACGCAGCAAAATATCCCTTGTAAATACCGTCTCAGGCTCTGGCAGAGGATCGTAAAAGATGTCACAGTCAAGGAATCTTACAGGGTTTTTTATACGTTACCTGATGGCTACTATTTACCGTGGAATGGTGTATGTATCAGCTGACTTTGAACCCTCGCTGGGGACTAAAAAGGCAGTGCTAATCTAGCAAGCTCCAGCAGAAGCATGAGTTGAATACGCCCACCACGGAAGAGATAGTCATGATTCGGCCAAGGCTGCTAAGGTAGGCTGTGTAGAGATAGATCTACGTGCACGGGACTGATGGTTTATGCGTTACTATATAAGGTATACTTCATTAACCGAGGAACGACGAACTGCGGCCGAGCGAGCGGGTGGTCACCGTGCTGAGGTTGATGATCTACGGAAGCGGGTGGGATGGGACGGGATAGAGAATGGGGTCTGTGTTATTTTGGGGAGATCTGTGTCCATATTTACCCATCTATGTTGTCGCGGATGGATGATGGATGGTGTTGTAATGTTGTAATTATATCCTTCTCGTCCTTTACAATAATAATAACTTCATTACCAATCACTGTTGGGCTTGTCGTGACGCACAAAAGCAGCCACAATACATTGAAAGAACGAAAGACCGGTAAGATTTGAGAAGCAAAAGAGAAACTAACAGGTAGATAATGATTAGTACGTGTTGTTGACAAAAGAAAATGGACGAGCTAAGAATCGAACTCAGGACCTTTCGCAACTTTTTATGCTTCATCTCATGATGTGAGATCGTGAAGATAAATGCTAAGCGAACGCTCTACCAACTGAGCCACACGCCCTTTTTATGAGGTAATTTGTGGGAACTGATGAGGGTATCGTGGCTTTTGCGTGTTCTGGTGGAGTTGAGCCGCATAATGGTGGTGGAGTGGCAGGTGGATGAAAGTGGAAAGCGGCATCGTGAGATTCAAGCGATGAAGATCAAAGACGGCATGGCACTTATCTTATCGAGTTGCCGTATCGACCAACAAAACGTCACTCACCCACAGCAGCCGACTTGTCTATGGTCTACCGGCGAATTCAGAGACTTATCACATTCAAGGTCTGCCCCTTTCGGGAATGCACGATAGGCTGGATAGGATCCGTCGCCAGTGTTGTGCATGAAACCTGACGCATTTGGTGCTTCGTGGGGCTCCACTGCAGTGCCCCGTACCTCGCATACCGTCGTCACACACGACGCGGGCGACGGACCCAACTCCCAGGCCCGCGGGCCGCGAACTCCTGGCCAGGTGCATCACAGATTGACTGTGTATATGGGAAGAATGCATAAGAGATTTCCAAGCGATGGTGATCGTTTTTTATTATCGGTATGATCATGTCAAGCGAACGGGTCCATCATAATCGCCCTAAATGAAAGGTTGAATAATACAAGTGAAAAGCTTAGGTACGGAAGAATGGTCCGAGATCTCGGATTTCAAGTTCAACTTCAAAGACGTTGGTGACTTGATGGTCGGGAACCGGCGGCCGTGGTTGTGGGTTGCACGAAGGGGACGCACACGAGGCGAGCGGCGGAATTGAAGTCAGGGACACAGTGGCACCTGTCAATCCAATTGGCCGCAGAACGCAGCGGGATACGGATTTTCGGTAGAGATTTCTTTTGAGGTAACCCGTAGAAGGATCGCAGAAGGTCGTTCTTACCGGTCGGTCGGTTTGTTAGTCGGTCGATTTTATAGATCGGGCCGTCGTCATCTTGATCTTCATTCTCATCGCCATCATCATCGTCATCACCAGAGGGACGAGAAAGAGATAAAGAAATTCTTTCGGGAGACAGATTTTATTGTCTTGTCCAAGTCTGGACCGAGTTTCACCACAGTCCAGTCCAAGTCCAGTTGAAGGCCAGGAACCAGGGGTTGAAAGTTCGTCTCTTTGACTCCTGGGCGGCTCTCGATTGGCTGTGGATGTCCCCAAAGGGCAGCAACCGAGGGCGCCACTTCTCCCACTACCGTTTCAGATGGGCCACTCGGGAGGTCGCCCCCCTGGATTGAACCTTAAACCACCCCTGCACATGCCCTGCACAGAAGGAAGCATGTCAGAGGGGGAGGGGCGACTGGCTGACTTATCCCTGCCTCTTCGACTTCTTCAAGGACCAGACAGGACCAATTCGCCAATCAAGGGGGAAAAAGGGAGACTGTCTCTCTCTTGCCACCGAGACGCGCTGTCATCGTCACATTCTTTCTCTCTGTCTCTGTTGTTGTGGGCAGCTAGGAGTACTAGGTATCCATTCGTTTCACCTACCCGCCGCAGCTGGGTCCTTTTCTTGATCTTTTCCCTTCTGTTTCCTCGCTGCTCGTCCTCGTCACCTGCTCTTTCTGTTTCTGAGAGAAGTCGACGACGACGACAACAAGGACAACAACTGGTCATATGTCATTCTGCCAGTCTTGAGGCGGTGACACTTCTTTCTTTCGTAGCTCTCTTTTTCATTCGTTCCAGGTTGATCCTTGGCCCCTTTGTATTCAGAACAGTTGACTGTTCTGTCTCTCTTTATACGACGACATACTGCCTTACCTTTTCTATATTCCGACCGGTTTCGACGACGAAGAAACTCTGTTTCACACCCATGTATTGCAGAAGCATCTACAGCATCACCGCCGGAAGGTACTAAAGAAGACTTACGAGACGAGATACATCTGAAGATTATCAAGAAAGAGATAGGAAAGATTCATTTGGTGTTGGACAGGAAAAGGGCATGCGGATTTGGGATATACAGGAAGGGATAACGAGTAACGATAACACTTCACTTCACATTCACTAAAATCGAGCCGGAAATTCGGGAGGGGTTAAATGCCAAGAAGGATGGCGATACCGAATCCAAAGAGTCGGATATGGAGGTTACTACTGGTAGGGGCAGGCCTGGCGGGAAGCGCGTTGGGCATCGATGTTCTTGAGACGGTCGGGTTCAGCAACTGCAACAACACAAACGCAAAAGTCTCGGTGCAAAAGGTCGACATCAAGTACAATGCCGACAACAAGACTGTCACCTTCGACGTGGCCGGCACCAGCACGGCGGTCCAGAACGTGACGGCCGTGCTCAACGTCACCGCCTACGGGCAAAACATCTATTCCAACACGTTCGACCCGTGCTCCCAGGCCACCTTCGTCGAGCAGCTGTGTCCGGTTCCCGTCGGCACTTTTGCGGCTCGCGGCACCCAAAAGATCCCCGAGGAGTACGCGAGCCTGGTGCCGTCGATAGCGTTCCAGATCCCCGATATTGCGGCCATGGCGACACTCCAGCTCCAATCCAAGGACTCGGGCGAGAAGGTCGCATGTATTCAGTCGCAGGTGTCCAACGGCAAGACGGCCAGCGTGCCCGCCGTGTCGTACGTCGCTGCCGGCGTCGCGGCGGCCGCGTTGGTCATGACGGGTGTTTCGGCGGCGGGGGCGGCGTTTGCGGGAGGCAGTGCGGCGGTCGGCGGAGGAGCGGGTACTGCGTCAGGTGGAATGGGCACGATCAGCCCTAGCTTCACCGAGGTGTTTGGCTGGTTCCAGGGCATGGCCATGAATGGCATGCTGAGCGTTAACTATCCGCATGTCTACCGGAGCTTCGCCAAGAACTTTGCTTTTTCGACCGGTCTGGTGCCGTGGAACCAGATGCAGACGTCCATCGACAGCTTTCGTGCGTCTACCGGCGGCAACCTGACCAACAACAGCGTCGAGTTTCTGCGGAACGCGACTCTGGTGTTTCCCGATGGGTCGTCGGACACGCTCAAGTCCACTGCGCTGGTCAAGCGAGCACTCGAGAACTTTGTGGTTCTCGCAGTCAGGCAGATCGAGACCAGCGTCAACGAGACAGCTGGTGCAGGCAGTGTGGCGAGCGGAAACCCCGAGAGTATTCGGGTCGCGGTCCAGGGTATCTCGGCCTACGTCCAGCAGCTGAGCATCCCGTCGGCCAACATGTTCATGACGGTGCTGCTGATCATCGCCATTGTCATTGCTGCGATCGCGGTCGGCATTCTGCTCATCAAAGTCCTGCTCGAGTTCTGGGCGCTGTTTGGCAGCTTCCCCAAGTCACTGGCCGGGTTCCGGAAGCACTACTGGGGCTCCATCGCGCGCGCCATCACGAGTTTGATTTTGCTGTTGTACGGTGTCTGGGTTCTCTATTGTGTCTTCCAGTTCACCCAGGGCGACTCGTGGGCGGCCAAGACGCTGGCCGGCATCACGCTTTTTCTTTTCACTGGTGTACTGGCCTTCTTCTGCTGGAAGATCTGGCGGACGGCGCATCGCCTCAAAACGATGGAGGGCGACATCGGCGGGCTGTACGAGGACAAGAGCATCTGGGTCAAGTACAGCTTGTTCTACGAGTCGTACCGCCGCGACTACTGGTGGATCTTTGTGCCGACAATTGTGTACATGTTTGCCAAGGGCTGCTGTCTTGCGGCCGCTGATGGTCATGGCATGGTGCAGACGATTGTGCAGCTGATCATCGAGGCGCTGATGCTGGTTTTGTTGTTGTGGAGCAGGCCGTATGAGCGCAGGTCCGGCAACGTCATCAATATCGTCATCCAGGTCGTGCGCGTGCTGTCGGTGGTCTGCATTCTGGTGTTTGTCGAGCAGTTTGGCATCGCCCAGACGACGCAGACGGTCACTGGCGTCGTGCTGATCGCTGTACAGTCGGCGCTGACGGGCATTTTGGCTATCTTGATTGCTTGGAATGCTATCATTGCCTGCTGCAAGCAGAATCCGCATCGCAAGCGGAGGAAGGAGATGGGTATGTTATTCTCCCTTATTATTCCGCCCTTAGAACTCATCACTAACTGAATAAACAGAGAAACTCCAACGTGACACCCTCACGCCCCTGGACGCGCGCAATTCTCTCCTCCTCGACCGGCCCAAGACGGTCACCTCGGACGACTCCTTCTCCGACACCTTCTCCATCAACAAGACCGGCTTTGCTACTGAGACCAAGGCGATGCCTGCCAGGAGCCCTTCACCCGACCGGTTTCTGTCTGTCAATTCAGGCGCACCAAATCCGCTGTTTGCGCCCAGCGGTGGTGCGGCTTATCGTCCTTTGACGCCGTCGTCTCCGCTGCCTCCTCCCAGCGCCGGTGGAATCAATGCCAGCCGTGAGAATCTTGTACCGATGCGCCAGCCTACGCTTCCAAATGTTGGTGGAGGCGGTTACCAAGGAGCTGGCGGGCCTGGATATCGGGCCCCGCCTCCTCGGCAGCCGGTATACGGCGGCCAGCAGCAGTCTGGTGGCGGGTACGGGGGCTACGGGGGCGGCGGCGGCGGCGGTGGTGGGCCGTATCGAGGACCACCACCTGCCAGGGGTGGTTACTGAATGACACTCGCTGTTCTATGACGAAGTTACACTGCCGGTTTTTTTCTCCTCGGTTTATTTTCTACCATATATACCTACTTTATTTCCTTGTCCTTTTGGTTTTCTGTTCTGGGTGTGCGCATTACTTACCAGCGAACATCGATATATCCACACAGGGCAGCTACTGTATTTTCTTTTTATCTATTGTATTGGAAACTTGATGACTCAGGTTGGAGAATGGTGAGAGAAGGGGATTGTATTATATCCTGATGGATGACAGGAGAGATATAAAAATCTGGGAGGATGGGTGTATCTGCACATATAAATGGTGGTTGAAGAAAGACCTGCTCCGGGCTTCTTCTGCCAATGTAAAATAGTCCTGCAACAAAAAAGAATAAAATTCAGTTAAATATGACCTTTTTTTGTTCTGACGGTCATTATGGTAAGGTTACAGAATCATATTCAGGACTAGGAGGTTTTGTTTGGTGGAAGGGCTTCCAGGTTGATTATCCAAGGTGAAGTTTG